ATTTAATATTGCAGGGTAACCCTGCGATGGACTAGCATCCCATCCGGGGGTAGTAGAAATACTCCTAGTCGCTTCATGCTACAGAAACCGGGATAATTGCTGACCTGATGGGCCACTTGGCTCATATGCAGACTCTAATTTCACTTCGGAGTTGCTGTTTGCCTCTTTTTTAGAACGAATGCTCGTGCAAAACATTTTACATGAAAATGACTTGATTTTCAAGAGGATGAACGTACAGGTGACATGCATTTTCATACGAATAGTTATGCACAAAGACTTGTTTTGCCACAAAGACAAAAGTCAACTACTCATCCATGAGCTGGCTCAGGGAGCCTTTGATTCTCTTTGATTGCTGCCATCAATACCCTTTCCTGGTAACGCAGATTCCGAGAAGAAGGTGAAGAGCTTGATTACCCTATTTGAAAATTTCCTAAATCTTTTGATCCCTCTCTCTGAAATAATACATTGGCATGTCTCTTGATGATCAAAGCGTAATTTTTATGATGTTTGTTATCGTGCTTTGTAAACTTTTAGCAGTCTCTTGTTGAAATATGAGATTCCTTAGTGTCCGTCTATGTTATCGCTCACTATAAGCGGGAAGTAATCGGCGAAGCTCTTCAGTCGCCGGTCGAGTTTCGGTTTCATTTGGACTCGCGCCAAAAGAAGAGATTAGTAAGAATTCTGTTAATGGCATCTTAAACAACCAAAATCTTCCATGTAAGATCGCATTTCTTTTAAGAGGTTAAAGAAATGTCTCAGTTGCAATGTTGTTTGCTCGATTGAAAGTTCCATTACAAGACTCTGTTGGCCACGGACAAGAAATGCCCTCTTATATACAGTTCTACACAACCTTTTACGGTGCGAAGATTCAAAAACGTACAAGCTCAGCGTGCATTTTCTTACCTTTTGGTAAAACGTTCCAGCACCAAATGTTCAACTCGTTGAAGTCATTTCTTCGCTCTTCTTTTGATCCGTATTCTCACTGGAGCTGCAGTATGCAAGCTGGGAGTGGCAGCAGGAAACTACTTGCGACAATCCTACAACCTAGCAACGCTGACAAGGAAAACACTTTAAGTGACAAAATCAACCAATGACGGGCGACTTTCTTATCTGGGTATTATTTGTAAATGGTCAACAATTTAATACCTCTTTTCCAGTCCTTTTGAGAGCTACCTTTCTCAAAACGTTCAACCAAGCCAGCGCTATACTGAAGTCATTGATCAACTGCGACGACATCGATTCTCGTTGAGTTCAGTCTTTCATCGAGAAAGCTGTCAGGTGAGGCATTAGTCTTTTTCGTTTTCTTTCCTTTCTAGGGATGTGTTAGAGTCCGCCAAAATTTTCAGTGGCTACGCCGTTTGCAATCACACAAGAACTTCTTCTTAATTAATTTGTCGTCACATGTTATGCACAAACTGTATATCAATGAAGCAAAATTGTCTCTCTTTTCTACAGTGGTTCATTTTAGTCGAAACTTTCGATAAAAAGGCCAAAAATCTGATCTCCTCATCCAATTAACTAAAGAGAAACTGCAATTCATGAAGGGATAGTATTTTAGTGCTAAAACTAACAGAAGAAGGTTTTTCCAAATAAGGTAAGCGATAACACAACAGATTACCTATATATGGACTGCGGACTCTGGACTCACCAGGTCAAATACCTAACATCAACTCCTCAATTGTTGTGAAAGTGTTGCCTTCCTCTATTTCTAAAAATTTCAACCGACAGTTTTGCCTCCTTCTGTTTCTAAGAATTTCGACTTTCGTTTAAAGCGGTTTATTTACAATTTAGCTTTTGCGTCTTTCCTAACATAATTGAAAATAGCGCTGCTGTAAGGTGTTCTCGTGTACTCCATCACTAAGAATTTATCGAAGTCTGTCTCGATATTAACGTTGTCGATTTGAGTTTTGTTGTTGTCATCAGCGACGTCTTCTTTGAAAGCATATAAATATGTTTGGATAATCTTTAGCATCACGCAGGGTAAATGTTCTCAAATACGCAAGAAGAAACCTAGCACATGCGAGTTCGTTTGACACATGTCATTTTCTTGGAATTTCACTTTTCAAGCAAATTGGCTTGCTTTTCCTTTTCCTTCTTGTTTTCCCCAAATTTCAACTCCGCTCTTGACGGCCTTATACCATTTTTGATTATCAAAGGATATGTTGTCTTCACTTCTATCCATCAAAACAACATGCAAGTATTAATGTTTCCTTTCTGTTAGCTAACTCCCAAAACACATATTCTCCAATCTTCCTTTAAAAAAATATTGTTTAATACAGAGCTCTGAGTTGAGAAGCCCCCATCGTCCCCCTTGTCACGAAACGCATTAAAAACGATGTACCAAGTTAGTAGTATAGAAGATGAGGCTGCCAGGACACTTCGTGTCCTCACATTTTCCCCATCTCCATACTACACCGCTGTATGACTTCAATAATGGTGTCAGCACATGACAACATCAAATACAGAATTTTAGCTTCTCGGCAGCGCAGAATAAAAAAAAACTCGAAGAGTTTTTTGTTTCGAGCAGAGGAGGAGAAGCGTTTAAAAATTCAAAGCGCGAAGGTGGGAAGAGTGAGCTTTGCGAGCGATGGAGCGCTTTTCTATGGTTACCATGGTTAATAATGATCCTTTTTGATAATAAAAGTACATGATAATCAATAAATGACGTAAACTATATGTTTCTCAAAATATTTGCATAATCACCAGACAGTAACATCACATTTCTCAGAAAGACAGGAACACATAAAAGGGACTTTCCCGAGGAAACGAGTCATCAAAGTCAACCAATCAAAAGATCACTTTGCGGCTTCACAAATTGTGAAATTTTTCCCTGAAACTCAGTTGAATTTGCGTAGTTCATTTGTGAGTTTATGCTCCCTTGAGTTTTTACTTATCGATTAAAAGATTCTGCCATGGTTAATGAACTGGGACATCCAAAATTGAACCATTTACCATCTTTATAAATATTGGATTCACATCCAGGTATCTTTTTCTTTGTTATTTGCTTGTAAGGTGCTTTTGATTTTGTAAACTGTCTTTTGATATTTTTACCTGCTCTCTCAAATGTTTTACCGCTCTAAAAGTCTTTAAAAGCGGGTTTGCTGTCTGGCATTAATGTTTCTGTTGTTCTTTGAATAACATCTATTGCCGTCCCAATGCCCGGTAAATTACCTCCTGTTTGGTTTTTAACAAAACGAGTTTTAACATGAGGACTAATATCACAAATGCTCTTCATCATCGTTCTATTATTTTTAGTTTTAACTAATTGTACATTTTTATTCCCAGTTATTTTTTTCTGCTTGACACAATTTGTGTTTTCCATATAGATAAATTATATGATTTAAAAATAATTATCTAAAAGTAATATATAATGAAAACTCCCCATTATTTTTGTAAAAGCTGTCAAATAGAAATTCCAATCGTCTTAAAGGAAGTTCATGAGAATACGGAATATCATAAACACGTCTTGATAAATATGTTAAACAAGGTATAATCAAATTTGATATTGATCAACAGTTGAACAAGTTATAGTTCCCTTTTCTTTATTCATTTATCATATCTCTTCTCAAACTCTGCTTTATTCTCTTTATGCTTCACTGTGAGTTTATGTTTGACTATATATGCTAACAAATAATATTCACAATAATACGGAAAAAACCAACTTCCATATATTGTTATATACAAAATTCGTTGAAAGTTGTTTTTCACCAATGGATGACTTAACAAAGCGTGTTGATACATTGACTTGTTGTTATGATGTTTTATCGTTTTGAAATGCTTTTTTATATCTCTGTAAAAAATGTTGCTGTCGGCAAAATATGCAGAACCAAACTAAGTAATGATATTGTTTAACATATAGTAGTGTTACATATTTTTACCAACATAATAACCTTCTCAACTTTGTCCAAAATGACTCTTCTATAAGCAATATAGAACATTTTATCAGGGTATTTTTCTAATCTATAAGAATACACTTCGTGATTTTTGAGTAATTTAACAATAATTGGCTCAATCTTAAAACTAACTGTTTTCTCCATAATATAAATATCTATAAAAAAATAAAATCTAAACCTATAATATATAATGAGTTCGCAAAGTTCAAGTCAATCAAGTCAAAGTACATGGGAAACATCAGAAAGCTCGCTTACTTCAGTTTCAAATTTAAGCAAAGAAAGCAGTACATGCTCAAGTTCCAGCCGGGATTCTCAATCTTCAGGTGAAGAATGGTCGCCTGATTCTTCGCATTCGACAGATTCTGATTCTGGTTAAATTTATTGTAATGTAATAGTAATGAAATGTAACACAGAAATACACAATGAAATGATCACTATGGAATATAGAGATTGCCCCTTTTGTGATCAAGAATTACAACAACCATCAACAATCTATCTTCCTTGTTGTGAAAAACAAGACATTATCAATAACAAAGGCACAAATGTATGCTGTAATTGTGGTACAGTTAACAATTATGATGTGGCCACTGAATACATTGATTTTCATGAAAGCAAGTACAAGATTGTGAAGAAATCAGTTTAACAAAGAAATATCATTTAGAAAATGTAATAAATGATATATGCAGTAAGTACAAATTACAAATATCAGTCTGTTATTAACCAAAATATATAAGATTTTCAAAGAAATAGACAAGATACTTCCACAAATTAATGGCAATCGCAAACGTATGATTAACATTAACTTTATTTTGAAACAGTTATTTGAAATATTAAATAAACCACATGAAAATATGCCCATAACGAAGTCTAAAAAGACATTATATATTTATGAGCAATGTTGGAAAAAAATACGAGATATCATTCAGCCTTGAACAATTTGTTGTATTGATCTTCAAATTTGACGTATAATGACGCATATCTATTATAATTTCATCGACAACTTTGATGTAGTCTAAAATTCGTTCATCATCGAATTCTAATCCTCTCAGAAACGACCTTATGTCAGTCAATATCTTTTCTTATTTTTTTCTCAAGCATCTGAACGGGCCGGATTACTAAATCCTCGAATTTGATCGGCTAATCATACGCACGTGAGCGGTCCAGCTTTTTACGTTACGGCCCACGGGCCGGATTTTTTCTTCGCTGCCTAAATTTCGCCCCTAAAAGTTAGCGGTAATCGTCAATCTTTTGCCTTTTTTACACGTTCATCAACGATTAGTCAATTAGTCCATGGGCCAGGGCACGTTCTCGGTACCACTCGGGGTGAGAAAATGTGAGTGATATCTGATGAAAGGTTGTATGAAGGACTTTTCAAATTTACATGATAGCAATCGTGAAAGAGTAGCTTTCAGTATTTTTTGCGT